CAAACATGAGTGCATCCCCCCGCCCCCTCCTCTCTCTCTGCAGGGTGGGCTCCAGAGCTCCTGTGAGCTCAGCCAGGTGGGGCCGTCCGTGTCAGTGGGGTTTGGGGAGATGGGGGCGAATAGACATCGAGGGACACAGAGGACGCAGGGCAGGGGCCCCGCCACCCCCGATGCCTGCAGGGGCTGTAAGCCCTCACCTCATCCCTGCTGGCCTGGAGGGAGGGGCCTGAGTGGAAGGGGGGCGGGGACCGTGGGGCAGAGACTGTGGGGCAGAGGCTCCTGGAGCCTGGACAGTTGTTCCTTCATTCATTTGACACACCTGCAAACCACGCAGCCTCAGCCTGGTATTTGGAACCTGGCTGGGGCAGGGGCGTTGGAGGGGCTGTTTATTGGAGTCTGGTCCATGCCTGCAGAATTGCAGAGTCGGGCCCAGTGAGTACCGCTGGTGGTTCAGGCTGTAGAGGTGCCGTATCCCCAGCCACCCAGTCACCAGGTGTGTTCCCAGAACCCAGCTGGGCAGGGTTGGGTGGGGAGGGAGGGGTTGGGCCTTGCCAAGGCCCCCCTGTCCTGCAGTCCCCCTATCAGGCTAGGCCAGACCCTCAGCTAGCAAGGGTGCCTGGTGTGCTGCCTCCAGCCCTGCATGGCCTAAACCTCCCAGTCCCCAGCCCTGCCCTCTGGAGGTCTGATGAGTGTGCAGGGTCCAGGAAACAGAGGGGAGGCAAAGTTGCAGTGGGGGACTGGTGGGGAGGGGGCTAGTGAGGAGGGGGCGCAGTGGGGAAGGGGAAGATGGGGAGGGGCCATGCTGAGGAGGAGGCAGGTGGGGAGGGGACAGGTAGGAAGGGGGCAGGTGGGGAGAGGGCAGGTGGGGAGGGGGTGTGGTAGGGAGGGGGCACGTTGGGTGGGGAGGGGGTGTGTTGGGGAGGGGGCACATTGGGTGGGGAGGGGGTGCAGTGGGGAGGGGGTGCAGTGGGCAGGGGGTGCAGTGGGGAGGGGGCCTGTTGGGGAGGGGACATGGTGGGAAGGCGGTGCAGTGGGGAGGGGGCACATTGGGTGGGGAGGGGGCGTGGTGGGGAGAGGGCAGGTGGGGAGGGAGCAGGTAAGGAGGGGGCCTGTTGGGGAGGGGGCATGTTGGGTGGGGAGGGGGCGCTGTGGGGAGGGGGCGCTGTGGGGAGGGGCAGGTGGGGAGGCCCCGTGGGGAGGCCTGGTGCGGGCCCAGGTGACTCCTCGTCGCCCCAGGGTGGGGGCCCCTCCCGGAGGCCTGTGGCCAGGCGGTAGGAACGGCCTGTCAGGAGTGCGGTCAGGCCGGGTCTGCAGAAGGAGCTCCGGTGGCCCAATGGCGCCCCCTGCAGGCTACTGGGGTCCAAAGGCTCAGGCAGAAGCCCCGGGAGTTCGGGGTCCCCACAGCTCCGGGGCAGCCAGGATGTACACGTTCCAACCCTCCAACCCTCCAACCCATGACACAGGTGGCACGCGCACCTGCCACCTGAGCACACCCCAAGGAAGGCCTGGGCTCGGGCAGAAGCCCCTCCTTGGACCTCTTCCAGCCCCAGCCCTGTGGGGACAGGGCTTTTCCCCAATGTGCTCCAGCTTCCTGGGCGGCTGCTGGCCGGATCCTGCCCCTCACAGAGCTCCCTGAGAGAGACAAGAGATGTGTGCTCGGCCCACCAGGGCAGTCCGGCGCCGGGGCTTAGTCCCCAGGCCTCGGGGGGTCCTTCCCGGAAGGTGGAGTGATGGGCTGGAGGAGGGACCTCCGGCACCCACATGGACTTGCAGGGACCCTCACTGGCGTGGACCTTGGGGGACCAAAAGGGGTCTGGGGTTCAGCCTGAGCTGGGGACAGCCCCTGAGTCCATGGGAGGGTGACCTGGGTCTGCCTGTGGGCCGGGTGAACTCCCTCCCAGGGCTCAGGTTGGCTAGGGCAGGGTGGGGGCTGCAGAGGGGTTGCCTGGCAGGGAACGCCCGGGCTGTGGTCAGCTCGTCCTGGCCTGTCTCCCTTCCCCCCACCTCCTCTTCCATCCGGCCCTGTGGCTGGTGGCCCCTGGAGAGAGCATGGGGGCACGGGAGTGAGCTTGGAGGGGCAGCCCCACCGACCCTGTTGAAAAGGTCTTGACCAGCCCAGGGAGGCAGCTGCAGGTTCCACTCCTGGGTGGCCTTAGAGGAGTGGGGGTGCCCCACAGACCTGGCTTCTCCACGTGGGGCTGAGCCCTGCACTCCCCTCGGGATTCGGATATTGGCTGCAGGGGGAGCCGGGCAGTGGGTGGGCATCAGGCTGGACGGCTCCTTGGATGGCGGGTCTCATCCTGCCTGGGACCAGATGGCTTGCACCACAGACACGTGTTTCTCCGGGGTCTGGAGGCGCCAAGTCCGCAATCAGGGTGCTGGCGGATCAGTTCCTCCAAAGTGTTCTCCCAGCCTGCTGCCTTTCCACAAGGACACTAATCCCAGCAGACCAGGGCCTCACCCTCACGGCTTCGTCTAACCCTCACCCCTCCCTCCAATGGGGCATGTTGGGGGGTGTTTCTGAGCCCTGCCCTGAGCTGTGGGAAGGGCAGAGCCCAGCGCTGCCTCCATGACTGTGCATGAGGACTCCCACGGAGGTGGCCCCTAGGACAGCTCCTGTTTCCTTGAGCCCCTGTCCTGGCGGGAGGCCCACAAGGCGACTGAGTGGATGTGCAGGGGGTCCAGGGCTGCGGAAGTCCAGGCCATGGCTGCGTGCCCAGCTCAGGTCATGTTTACCAGGCAGGCCAGTGCCAGGGCCCCCGCCCGGCCTCGCAGCCCTGAGTTAACTCAGGCTCCAGGATAAACACCCATTCAGCCACACAAGGCCCCTTTGTCCTGGGAGAGAGGCTCCCAGCCCAGGATGCTGCCTGGTGGCCGGTGTCCTCGGCGCGGCCCCAGGCCCGGCCGGGTGCCCTGACACGTCCAGCTGCCCTGCATGGCCTTCTCCGGGCAGGCTCCCGGCTTGGCTCAGAGAGGCCCCAGCGGGGGACAGGGCCCTGGGCAGCTGTTGGAGGAGCCGGGCCAGACTGGCAGGGCTGAGTGAGGAGGAGGACCTGGCAGCCGCCTTGTGTCCTGAGATCTCGTGAGAGCAGAGCTGACCCTGCAGAGAGAGGTGGGAGTCCTGCGGCCGGACATGCCTGTGGGCAGCGGGGAGGCCGAGGCGGGCCGTGCTGCCCATGGGGCAGCTGGTGAGCTCTGGAGGCTCCAGGGCCCTTCTGCTCCCCCATATTCTCAACCCCAAGCAGGAGAGGGGGCCCTACACCCTGTGCTTGGCCCGCCTCCCCCAGCCAATGACCACTGGTCTGTGGGCCTCAGTTTCTTGTCTGTGAAGTGGGTCATGGCAGGCTCTCAGAGGCCTCTCAGCCAGGGACTGCACCCTATTATTACCCAGGCTCAGGGCTGAGATGGGGGTTGCTGCCCAGGGGAGGGAGGGGTGAGATGGTCCTGGGAAGCCAGTCGGGAGGTGCTGCAGGAGCACAGGTGGGCTGAGGAGGGCAAGGAGAGTGGCCCCCAGCCCCCCCCACCCCGTCGAGGCTGGCCCAGTCCCTGCCCCAGCCATGACTGGTCACGGCCCTCTGTGGCCATCCATCCCTGTGACAGGCTCCCTCCTCCAAATGTACTAAGAACAAACGCGCCCTCCTGCCCTTGGGGACACCCCAGTGGCCACCCCAGGCTGAAGTCCCCACCAGCTCCTCAGCCTCCCTGGCGGTTCATGCAGCTTCTTGGCACCCCAGCCCCGCCCCTTCAGGGTGTCACCCACCTGGTCCGGTCCCTGTGTGGCCCACAGCGGCAGTGACCCCTGGCGGCAGCTGGCGGTGGTGTTGCACCCACCTGAGGGCCAGTACTGGGGTGCTGCTCACCAGGGTAAGGCGCAGACTTGCAGAGCCTTGGAAGCAGGTCCTGGGACTGCAACCCCCAGGCTCAGACACTACTGGGGCCAGATGACTGCGGCCAGATCTCAGTCATCCAGGTCCCTCCCTATGTGGGGAGCCCCACTCTCCAATGATGGAAGAAAACGGCTCTTCTGGACGGCGTGATCTGCGCACAGCAGCAGTGACCCCCAGGAACAGGTTACAGCATCAACCCTTGGTCCTGCCCAGCCCCTCAGGAGACCCTGGCCCTCTGGCTGGTGCTGGGGTCCTAGGTACCATGGTTGAACCCAGCGACCAGCATCTCTCAACTTGGTGCCCACGGCTCCTGGGATGCCCCAGCTGGGCCGAGCCTCTGCCTGTCCAGAAGGGCTCCTGGAACTGTCCTGGGTTCCAGTGCGCCTGTCCAAGCCTGAGATCCGCAGGACGGGACTGTGGGGTGAGGGTTGGGAAGGAAGCCCTGCCATGTGGAGACAGAACTTCCTCAGGGAAACCTGTTTTGCTCTGAAGCCTCCATGCCCCTGAGGATGACGGGGGCTGAGCAGCTGCACCTGCAGGGGCCTCCCTCCACACCCACACCTAGGTGAGCGCTCAATTAGCTGAGGCTGCAGGCTCGCCAGGTCGGCACCAGAATCAGAGCCACCAGCACGCACGCCTGGCTGTTCATGGTTTTTGTTTTATATGAAAACTTCCCCATCTCTACTAAAAATACAAAAAATTAGCCAGGCGTGGTGGCGGGTGCATGTAGTCCCAGCTACTCGGGAGGCTGAAGAATGGCGTGAACCCAGGAGGTGGAGCTTGCAGTGAACTGAAATCGTGCCATTGCACTCCAGCCTCGGCTACAGAGCGAGACTCCATCTCAAACAACAACAACTTGAGTCAATTTGGACTTCGATGTGTGTACCTGAGGCCACAACCATGTAGCCAGCCTGAGGTGGCTGGGGCAGACTGGGCAGACCTGAACCTCCTCCAGCCACTGGCTGTCCCTGCCCTCAGCAGGGCAGCCTGAGCCTGGGGCAGGCAGGGACCAAGTGGCCAGCTCTGAGGGAAAGGGAGGCGCCTGCAGATGGGCTCAGCCTCAGGCCAGAGCTGGGAAGCCTTTGCTTCATCAAGACCAGAGCGGCTTCAGGGTTTAAACTGAAAGGAAACTTTTATTTACTCATCTTTTCAAAGCAATCTAGTTAAAAAAAAAAAAAAAAAAAGTTGAAGACAAGACAGAAAAAAGAACACGACACCTAAGAAAATCAGACGAGACGACGGACGGGAGCAGGGGCGGGACAGCGGCACCCGGGAGGTCAGATCTTCTCCATCTTGGAGATGAGGTCGTCGCAGATCCTGGTCAGCTCCTCATTCTCTTTAGTCTGGATAAGGAAGATGAGTTGCGGGGGCTTCTCCCTGCCTGGAGGGAGCGGCAGGCCCAAGGGCCTTCTAGAAGGTGCTGCCAGCCGGCCCCGTGAGCTGGGCTTCCCGCACCCACCTTCTGCTCCACTGTCTTCTCCAGCGACTGGATCCGCATCTGCTCCTTCCTCAAGCTGGCCTGGAGGGCCAACACTTCCGCCTGGGCCTTGCTCCGGACTTGGGCGATCTCCTCGTTTGCCCTGGACGGGTAAGGGCAGGGCAGAGGCTGAGCTGGGGCCCAGGTGCTCAGACTCTCCCTCCAGGGTGGGGGCCTCGCCCAGCACTCACAGCTGCAGCTTCTCCTCCGCATGCGCCTTCAGGGCTTGGTACCTCTGGCCTTCCTGGGTGATCTTCGCCAGGTAATCCTCCACACACTTCTTCAGTGACTCTTCGTTCTAGGAAGGGGCAGGCATTAGCTGTGGGTACCATGCCATCTGCTGGAGAGTACCCAGGCTTGGTGTCTGGGGACCTGCAGACCCTCAAGGCTGTCTGGGGCATCAGTCATGAGGCAGTACCTCCTGTTTTCCTTGTGGAAAAAGCCCCTCCACACAAGTTCCCAGCTCACCCCCTCTGGAGGTTCAGGACAGCCCTGGCTCTCCACCCTCAGAGACGCCAGGCCTGAACCTGGTGCCCTCACGGCTGCGCCCCCTCCTGCCACACCTGTAGCTTCTGCTGGCACCAAGTGCTGCTGGAAAGTGGGATGCACCTGGGACCACTGACAGCCCAGCCCCTCCCCCTCTGGAGATGGACCCTGTGCTTTGGGGACAGGCAGGGGAGGCCAGCAGGAGCCACATGGTTACCCAGACCTGCCTGCTCCCCAGAGCTCTGGGGGCACCTTCCGCTCAGTGACCGAGAAGCCCCAACTGAGGGGCTCCTGGGCCCCCGAGTGGCCTCTGCTTGGAGAAGGCTCAGCCCACCTGCCCTCTTCCTGCAGTGCCCCCAGCAGCCTCACAGCCCAGCCATCCCCACTCCTCTGTTGCAGCCCTGTATCCCAGGAGCACCCACCCAGCATGCAGCCCACGATGTCCTGCGGAGGTCACACCTCCCATAAACCCACAGCCCTGTGTTTCTCTGCTGTGGAAAATTCCCAACAGCATCTGTCTGGGAGGTGGCAGCCGAAAGCTCTCACGTCGACACAGGTCAAGCCTCCCGCCACAGCAGCGTCTCTCCCTCTGGCTCTGGGGGCTGCCGTCCACACATTGGCTCCCAGCTCACCCTCTGCTTCCCTCATCTGACCTGTACCCTCTGAACTGCTAACTTTGTTAACTGTGTACCTGTTAGAAATTTCCATTTTGGCCGGGCGCGGTGGCTTAAGCCTGTAATCCCAGCACTTTGGGAGGCTGAGACGGGCGGATCACGAGGTCAGGAGATCGAGACCATCCTGGGTAACACAGTGAAACCCCGTCTCTACTAAAAATACAAAAACTTAGCCGGGTGAGGTGGTGGGCGCCTGTAGTCCCAGCTACTCGGGAGGCTGAGGCAGGAGAATGGCGTGAACCCGGGAGGCGGAGCTTGCAGTGAGCTGAGATCCGGCCACTGCACTCCAGCCTGGGTGACAGAGCGAGACTCCGTCTCAAAAAAAAAAAAAAAAAAGAAATTTCCATTTGGTTCTTCTCTAGTTTTTTTTTTTTTGAGACTGAGTCTCGCTCTGTCGCCAGCCTGGAGTGCAATGGCACGATCTCGGCTCACTGCAACCTCCACCTCCCAATTCTCCTGCCTCAGTCTCCTGAGTAGCTGGGGCTACAGGTACCTGCCACCACACCCAGCTAATTTTTGTATTTTCAGTACAGACAGGGTTTCACCATGTTGGCCAGGATGGTCTTGAACTCCTGACCTCGTGGTCCTCCTGCCTCGGCCTCCCAAAGTGCTGGGATTACAGGCATAAACTGGCCTAGTTTTTCCGTATTTTTTGTTTCTTAGAGACAGTCTTGTTCTGTGGCCCAGGCTGGAGTGCAGCGGCGCAATCTTGGGTCACTGCAACCTCCGCCTACCAGGTGCAAGTGATGATCATGCCTCAACCTCCTGAGGAGCTGGGACTACAGGCCTGCACCACCATGCCCCGCTAATTTTTTTTTTTTTTTTTTTTTTGAGATGGAGTCTTGCTCTGTTGCCCAGGCTGGAGTGCAATGGTGCGCTATCGGCTCACTGCAATCTCTGCCTCCCAGGTTCAAACGATTCTCCTGCCTCAGCCTCCCGAGTAGCTTAGACTACAGGCGAATGCCACCATGCCTACCTAGCTAATTTTTGTATTTTCAGTATAGATGAGGTTTCACCATATTGGTTAGGCTGGTCTTGAACTCCTGACAGGTGATCCACCTGCCTTGGCCTCCCAAAGTGCTGGGAATACAGGCATGAACCACCACCTTGCCCAGCCCAATTTTTGTATTTTTAGGAGACGGGGTTTCACCATGTTGGCCAGGCTAGTCTCGAACTCCTGACCTCAAGTGATCTGCCTGTCTTGGCCTCCCAAAGGGGATTCTTTTCTAGTTTCGAGGTCTCTACTGAAGCAATACTCTTTTGAACACAGAAGGCAATTACTTTAAACTCTGCACTGGGTCCTCCGAGATGGGATTAGATGTGCAAAGAAGCCTCCATGAGAAAGTGGGGAGGTGGCCAGTGGGAGCTGAGGCACAGGCCTACCCCGAGGAGAGGCAAGGCCAAGGCAGCTGCTCACACCACAGCCCAACCTGAGGGAAGGTCAGCAAAGCCACTGTGTCCTCAAGTCAGCAGCCTCTCCAAGCGTCTGTACTGAGCCAGATTACTGCACTCTGCTGCCGCGAGGCCCTTCCCATCTGCTCCCTGCAGATCTGGGGCATTACCTGCTGGTGCCACCTAAAACATCTGGGGCTCCCGTGGGTCTATCAACAGTTTTCTTTCTTTTTTTTTTTTTTTAATTTTAGAGATGGGGGTCTTGGTCTATTGCCCAGGCTGGAGTGCAGTGATACAATTGTGGCTCACTGCAGCCTCCACCTCCCGAACTCAAACGATCCCCCCACCTCAGCCTCCCAAGTAGCTAGGACCACAGGCGTATATCACCATGCCTCACTCTAATAACAGGTCTCATTTTCACTCATGTTTCCTGTTCCTTTCACACTTGGTTATTCTGTGCCAGACACTAATTTAAAACTCTGTAGCAGCAATTTAAAGCATTAAGACACCTTCTTCCAGAGAGTATTCAGACTTGCTTCTCTTAGGCAGCTGGGCCCCAGCCACTGACACCCACCTGACTTCAGGACTGAGATGAGGTGTGGCTGAGCCAGCCCCTGCAAGGGCCACTGTTCTAGTTTAGTCTGACTCCCAGGGGACCCATCTGGTGTCCCCAGCCCCTTGCACCAATGGTGACAGGCCCTCTTCCAGCTGCACCCACAGGTCCAGCTCCTCTACAGGAGACACTGAGCACCTCCGCTCCAACACTACTGCTGTGGGCAGAACCCTCTGGTGGCCTCGCAGGTACCTTCCAGGCCTGCTCCAGGCAGATGGATGGCCCAGACATCCCTCCTTCCAGCAGCACATGGGCCTTGCCCAGCACAGAAGGTGGAGGGCGCTCAGAGTCCTATGGCCAGGAGGACACCAGGGTGACCTTGCATAGCCGTGACCACCTTTCTATGGGCCTCCTGCCTTGGATACTGCATGCCCTGGGTCCCCAACCCTTGGGACCCAAGCGCTTAGACAGCCCAGGTTTGACGCCCTTTCTGAAGTGCTCCAGGCCCCGGTGCACCAGCACTGTCTCAAATCTCACAGGTGTTTGATCATAGCCAAGTCGTCTCTCACATAACAGCAGAGCTCACTCTGCCTCCCACCACCCTCAGCTGCCTTGCAAACCAGCTGTGACTCCTGCACCCTGTCTCATTCACAGGTCATCCCACGCCCCCATGGCAAGGGGAGGCTTGGCCAAGGACCAAGGTGCAAACAGCAGCTTGTAGCCCCGCTGGCTTGGACCATGAGTCCATCAACCTCCGAGGTGAGGACATCGGGGCAGCGGGAACATACCTTGCGGTAGCCCTCGATCACCTCCTTCTGTTTCTCAAAACGCTTGAAGAGGTCGGAGAAGGACTTCTCCATGGAATTCAGGTCTGTAGTAAGTTGGTCTTTTTCTTTTAGAACTTTCTGGATTTCAGCTTTGGCAAGTTCCTTCTGTTTCTGAACTTCCTCTTGAGAAAAGAAAAACAAACGTTCAGGATGAGGAGGCAACCGAGACGCTAGGTGCCAGAGACGGCCCAAGGAGTGAGGCGAGGCGCTTGAGTGCCAGGAGGAGAGGTGGGTAGTGGGTGTGAGCCTCAGCAGGGCAATGAGCCCCTCCACCCGGGGTCTTCCTAGGCCGGAAGCAAGGCCCAGAAAACAGCTGTTTCCTCCACATCAGATCCATAGGGAACTGGAGCCTGGGCCAGGGCCCAGCAACAGAGGTCCCCAAAGAGAGGCGGCGCCCAACATCCTCGAGTCCAGGGTGAGGCCTGGGAGCCGGTACAGCGAACTCCAGGCTGTGGGTCGTGCTGTCGTGGTGGTCCTGGAGGGACTGCAAGGGCCAGGCAGTCACCTGCCCCCAGCTGACACTCAGCCTAAGACAGATCCCCACAGTAGCACCTCCAGGAGCCCAAGCTTTTGGGAGGCCGGGTGGGGCCCGGTGTTCCTGTCCTGCCAGACACCTACAGAAGCTGATGCTAGACACAGCCGCACGGTGAGGGCAGGGTGGAGTGGAGCAGGCCATGGCGGGACAGGCTCTGCTCCCACCACAGCCCCACTGCTAGCTCAGCATCTGCACAACTTTGGGGCCTGACAAGTGCTGGTTCTGTGGGAGCCACCAGCCTCACTACCACCAATCTCCCCACAACTTGCCTCAGTGGTTCCACAGCTGGGCCCATGTTGAGGGGATTTGTGTGTTAGGAAGAGGGGCCTCAGGAGGGTGGGGCCCTAGGCAGGGTACGGGGCAGGGCCAGGGTGGGGCATAGGCAGCTCCTCCTGGAGGTGGGTGCCCTCAGCGGCCTGGGAACTCACCCATGGCCTGGTACACGACCTCTTCGAACCTGTCCATGATTTTCCTGTGGGAGGAGAGCACACAGCCATGGCCTCGGGTGGCCAGCGGTTCCAGGCCAGGTGGGGATGCACACGGGAACAGGGATGGGGAGGACAGGGGGCGTAGCCTCCTTACCCCAGCTCTAGGTTCTTCCCGTGGAGCTCCTCACACCTGCTCCTCAGCTCCCGGTTCTCCTCCTGTGTAGCCTTTACCTGCTCGGGCCACACCCAAGTCAGCAGGCAGGTGGGCCAGACTGACCCTCCCAAGACCTCCCCACAGGATGGGGCCAGCCGACACCCGAGGTCCCCGGAGCTATGTCCCAGAGCCACAGTTCCATGTAGGGCTTCTAGTGGGACCCTGGGAAACCCGCTGAGGCCAAGGCTGCCTGCTCCACATGCACTCGACTGCCGGGGGCAGGAGGCCTGGGGCTTCGGGCTGTGATCCTGGGTGGAACCAGCAGGCACCCAACAGGTGTGTGTCCTGCACCCACCCCCGCAGCCCAGTGGCGGACACCAGAGGTCCTAATTGTTAAATATAGTGAACCCCAAGTTTCTCTTCAAAGAATCAGTATGTTAGTATGTTCAGATCTTTTTTTTTTTTTGAGACAGAGTCTCGCTCTGTCGCCCAGGTTGGAGTGCAGTGGCGCGATCTCTGCTCACTACAGCAGAAGGGGCTACCTACATCAGGAATAAGAACCCCTTCCCCTCCCTTGTTCAAGTGTGCTCTTGCCACTGTTCCATCTGCGAGGGGCACGCTTTCTGCAGAAAATAAAAACTGCCTTACTGAGAAAATTAAAGTTGTATTCGAGTGCTATTTCTTTGTGGCACCAGGGAACAAGCATTTTGCATTTCTAATATAAGTTACATGCAGGGGCCACCTGCCCCCGGAGTCCAGGCCTGCAGAGGAGGGGGCCAGCCACGCTGTGGTCCCCAGCCCTGCTATTGGGTTCCTCGCATGGGCTCTGACACAGGGAGGGCGTTGTTGGGGAACTGAGTCAGGGCCGCATCACATCGCAGTTGGGGCCACTGCGAGCAACACTGGTATGGATGTTGGGGCTTGAACCCAGCCCTGCCAGCCGGCCTCCGGAGCCACCCTGGGACCCACCTCCCTGGGGACTGTCTGGTGGCAGTAGCTCACAGCGGTGCCTGCAGACACCCAGCCCCTTTGCGTGCCTACAGCTCTCTTATGGACAATTTAGGCCTGGAGTTAGAACAGGCTGAAGCCTGGCATGTGCAGTGAGGATGGAGGGAGACGAGGCAGGGGACCTCAGGTGTGGGGCGGGTGAAGACGGAGCTTCCTAACCTGCCAGGAGATGCGTCTGGACTTGTGGGAGGGCAGCAGGAAAGGGACAACACTTGGGTTTACATCAGCGAGTGCCACACACTGCTGCAAGGCCACCAGAGGTGAGCGTTGCACCCAGGCCACAGAGTCCTGGGGAAGCTGCTGGTGGGCAGCTGACTGCGGGGACACTGGGTGGAAGCCTGGACCCTCAGCAACCTGGGCAGCAGTGACAGGCCAGGGGCCGGCAGCTCTCTGCAATTCCACCCTGACCAGCAGGGGCAGGGATGGCAGGGATGGCAGGGATGGCTGGTCAGGCTGTTTGGACCCCACCCGTGCCCACTGTTGGCCAAGCCCCAGAGTGGCCTGCAGGTTCTGTGGAATAGCCACTCTCTTCGTCCTTACCGCTGCATCCAGGTCCTTCTGGCTGTACTGGAGCAGGTCCACTATAGGCCCGGTGGACAGGGGTGGGCCCCCAGGTGCGGGGACACCTGGAGGTGGGCCTGGCACCTGCAGGAGATGGGGATGAACCAGGAACCCATTTCGCCCTTGCCTCTTGCCTGTGACCTGGCGTGGGGGGGGGGGGGGAAGGAAAGGCCCACGCAGGCCAAGAGGCTCAGACAGCGTGGCGAGGGACCTGAGACAGCACCGTGGCTCCATGCCCCCGATGGAGCCAAAGGCTTCAGATCCCCAGGAATAGAAAACATAGGCCCTTAAAACAACTCCTTCCCTCAAACCACAGACAAGACAGTTCAAGAAGGACTGAAGGACTTACAGGAATGTCCAGTGCTCCCAAGAAATCGAACTCCACAAGCTTGGCTTCCCGCGGACTTCCTGAGGGAGGCTCATTTGCACCGTGCATGCTGCCACCAAGCAGAGGCAGCCTCAGTCACTCAAGTCCTCCCAGTATTGAGTAGGACACAGAGGACCATGTGGACAAGCTAACCAGGCTCTTTGCTTTTTAGTTTAAAACCACTCAAGTCAGGGTAGCGGTAGAAAACACAGACCTGCATCCAGCAGGCCTGGCCTCTCTGCTGCCCCATGCCCCCTTCCCTCACCTGCCTGTCCCACGTGGCTGCTCGTCCTTCCGGAGAGCACGGCAACACTTCGTTACCCACTGCAGGCTGAGTGGAGCCGGTGCTGCCTCATCGGGGGCTGCTCGCAGCTCAGAGGCTCGCTTTTTTTTTTTCCTTCTTTTGAGACAGGGTCTCACTCTGTCCCCCAGATTGGAGTGCAGTGGCATGATCTCGGCTCACCACAGCCTCTGCCTCCCAGGCTCAAGGGATTCTCCTGCCTCAGCTTCTCAAGTAGCTGGGATTACAGGTGCCCACCACGTCGCCTGGCTAATTTTTGTATTTTCAGTAGAGATGGGGTTTCACTACGTTAGCCAGGCTGGTCTCGAACTCCTGACCTCCAGTGATCCGCCCGCCAGGGCCTCCCAAAGGGCGCGATTACAGGCGTGAGCCACTGTGCCCGGCCATGTGTTGGGATTTGAAAGCTACACAGCCTCTGTCACACTACTCAGTTCTGCCCTTATAGTGTGAAAGTTGCCACAATTTGCAAAGGAACGGGCATGGCTCTGTGATGATAAAACTTTTTTTTTTTTTTTTTTTTTTTGAGATGGAGTCTCGCTCTGTAGCCCAGGCTGGAGTGCTGTTGTGGCCGGATCTCGGCTCACTGCAAGCTCCGCCTCCCGGGTTCCCGCCATTCTCCTGCCTCAGCCTCCCGAGTAGCTGGGACTACAGGCGCCCGCCATCTCGCCCGGCTAGTTTTTTGTATTTTTTAGTAGAGACAGGGTTTCACCATGTTAGCCAGGATGGTCTCGATTTCCTGACCTCGTGATCCGCCCGTCTCTGCCTCCCAAAGTGCTGGGATTACAGGCTTGAGCCACCGTGCCCGGCCGATAAAACTTTATTTACACAAACAGGCAGTGGCCAAGTCTGGCCCACAGGGGACAGTTTGCTGACCTCTGTTTCTTGCTTTTTTTTTTTTGAGACAGAGTCTCGCTCTGTCGCCCAGGCTGGAGTGCAGTGGCCAGATCTTGGCTCACCGCAAGCTCCACCTCCCGGGTTTCACTATGTTAGCCAGGATGGTCTCGATCTCCTGACCTCGTGATCCGCCAGTCTCGGCCTCCCAAAGTGCTGGGATTACAGGCTTGAGCCACTGCGCCCGGCCGGGGTTTTTTTTGTTTTTTTTGGAGATGGGAGTCTTTCTCTGTCACCCAGGTTGGAGTGCAGTGGCGCAATCTCGGCTCACTGCAACCTCCGCCTCCTGGGTTCAAGCAATTATCCTGCCTCAGCCTCCCAAGTAGCGGAGACTACAGGTGCATGCTGCCATGCCCGGCTAATTTTTGTATTTTAGTAGAGACGGGGTTTTAACATGTTGCCCAGGCTGGTGGCAAACTCCTGAGCTGAGGCAATCCACCTCAGCCTCCCAAAGTGCTGGGATTACAGGCGTGAGCCACCGCGTCTGGCCTGCTGACCTATTTTAGAGGAACTACTTTTAAAAGATTTAAGTTTAGATCTTTAATCCACCTAGAATGGTGGCTGTAACCAGCAAGGCAGCAGCCCTGTGACTGGGGGGTAGGCTGCCGTTGCTCCTGCCAGCCACACAAGACTGCTCTGGGCTTGCTGCCCTGCCCACCCTCCCAACAACTCCTTTCTAGTTCAGATCATCTCCCCCTGGTCTAGAAGCCTCTGTGCAGACACACACCTAGGAACAGCCTGCAGCCTTCCCACACTCAAGGCTCCACGCGTGGGGGAGGGCTGGCGCGCGTACCTGCTGGTCTCCACGGCCACGGGCACTGGTCTACGAGGACTGTCCCTCAGCAGGGGGTCGAACTTGAGGTACAAGGACTGCTTCCTCAAGGCCGACTCCTTAAACTGGGGACAAGAGGGCAAGTGATCAGGTCTGACTGCCGTCCAAACACACACAGGGGGGCTGAGGGCCAGGGAGGTCACACACACACTCCCACCTCTGGTCACCCGCAACCCTGCCCGAGGCACCGCCATTCCCAGCAGCACAGCATGTCGGGGTTTCATTCTGGACTAAGCGCCAGGTAGAGAGCCCTAGAGCCCTGCCACAGGACGCCACTTAGAGGAGGTGCTGCAGAGGGGCCTGGATTCAGAACCCGCCATGATGCCTGGGCCTGTGTGCGGCTGGGGGGACGTGGGCACCAAGGGACGCCCTGGGGTAAAGACCTGCTACGGCTGCTCGCGGACACTGTGCGGGTGAGGCTTCGCGTAAGGGCCTGGTACCTACCGAGGAAGTTCCAAACTGCTCCAGGTAATCCACCTCTGCGCCCATGCCTAGAACTGAGAGGGAGTGAGTCATGCCGCCGCCACCGCCCCTCACCAGGGCCCTAAGAGCCGCGGGCTGGTGTCTCCCTCAGCACTCAGTAGGGCGGGATCATTCCAGCCAGCAGTGTCTCATGGAGACCTGGGGCCGAGGCCCTCTGTGGCACAGCAGGATTTCCTACCTTGCAGGTGTTGATGCCCGAGGCCTGACTGCTCTCTGTGGCAGGAGTCTCCTGGGCACCGCAGGGTGCTGAGCAGCATCCCCGGCCTCCACCCACTCCCGGCCAGCAGCACCCCCAGGTGAGACAACCACAAACATCTGGAGGAAGGCGGGGCAAAACTGCTCTGGTTGAGAACTATTAGTCTTTAAAATTATGCTAGACAAGTCTTTTAATTTTTGATAACATAACTTATGGTTAAAACTAAGGGTGGAGGCTGAGGCAAGTGGATTACTTGAGCTCAGGAGTCCAACAGGGCAAAACCTTGTCTCTACAAAAAAATACAAAAATTAGCTAGGTACAGTGGTGCACGCCTATTACAGGGAGGCTGAGGCAGGAGAACTGTTTGCGCCTGCGAGGTGGAGGCTGCAGTGAGCTGAGATTATGCCACTGCACTCCAACTTAGGCAACGGAGGGAAAACTCTGTTTCAAAAAAAAGAAAAAAGGAGGCCGGGCGCGGTGGCTCAAGCCTGTAATCCCAGCACTTTGGGAGGCCGAGGCGGGCGGATCACAAGGTCAGGAGATCGAGACCACAGTGAAACCCCGTCTCTACTAAAAATACAAAAAATTAGCCGGGCGCGGTGGCGGGCGCCTGTAGTCCCAGCTACTCAGGAGGCTGAGGCAGGAGAATGGCGGGAACCCGGGAGGCGGAGCTTGCAGTGAGCCGAGATCGCGCCACTGCACTCCAGCCTGGGCAACAGCGTGAGACTCCGTCTCAAAAAAAAAAAAAAAAAAAAAGAAAAAAGGAAAGGTGCCTCATACCATATACAAAGATTAACTCAAAATGGATCAAAACCCTAACTGTGAGAGTTAAAACTATCATTTTTTTTTTTTTTTTGGTAGAGGAGTCGTCTTGCTATGCTGCCAGGGCTGGTCTGGAACTCCTGACTTCAAGTGCTCCTCTGGTCTCGGCCTTTAAAACTATAAAACTCTTAAACTGTGGCTGAGCACAGTAGCTCACGTCTGTAATCCCAGCACTGTGGGAGGCCAAGGCAGGTGGATCACCTGAGGTCAGAAGTTTGAGACCAGCCTGGCCAACATGGGGAAACCCTGTCTCTACTAAAAATATAAAAATTAGCTGGGCCTAGTGGCATGAGCCTGTAATCCCAACTACTCGGGAAGCTGAGGCAGGAGAATCGCTTGAACCTGGGAGGCAGAGGTTGCAATGAGCTGAGATTGTGCCACTGCACTCCAGCCCGGGTGACAGAGCAAGACTCAGTCTCGGAAAAAAAACAAACCAAACCAGCACTTTAAGACAGGGCCTCGGTCCGGCTGAGATCCAGGCTGGGGCATCTCTAGCTTTGTCCCTCTCTTCATGCCTAGTAGTATTTGCTCATTTTCTCCTTTTCTCAATTAAACTAAAAAACTGTTGCCAATTATTTAGTCTAGCAAAGACTTGTAGGTCCTTCTCTGCTATGGCCTTTCAGTTTTCTTTTTTTTTTTTTTGAGACAGAGTCTCACTCTGTTGCCCAGGCTGGAGTGCAATGGCGCAATCTTGGCTCACTGCAACCTCAGCTTCCTGGGTTCAAGTGATTCTTCTGCCTCAGCCTCCTGAGTAGCTGGGATTACAGGCATGTGCCAACACACCCAGCTAATTTTTGTATTTTTTTTTTTTTTTTTTTTTTTTTTTTTTTTTTTTTGAGGCGGAGTCTCGCTCTGTCGCCCAGGCTGGAGTGCAGTGGCGCGATCTCGGCTCACTGCAAGCTCCGCCTCCCGGGTTCCCGCCATTCTCCTGCCTCAGCCTCCCGAGTAGCTGGGACTACAGGCGCCGCCACCACGCCCGGCTAATTTTTTTTTTTTTTGTATTTTTAGTGGAGACGGGGTTTCATTGTGTTAGCCAGGATGGTCTCGATCTCCTGACCTCGTGATCCGCCCGTCTCGGCCTCCCAAAGTGCTGGGATTACAGGCTTGAGCCACCGCGCCCGGCCAATTTTTGTATTTTTAGTAGAGACGAGGTTTCACCACATTGGCCAGGCTAGTCTCGAACTCTTGATCTCCGGTAATTCGCCCGCCTCAGCCTCCCAAAGTGCTGGGATTACAAGCGTGAGCCACCGTGCCCGGCTTTGTTGTCAATTTTCATTTCTGCCTTTTTTTTTCTTTCCTTCAGATAGGGGTCTTGCTGTCTGTCGTCCAGACTGGAGTGCAGTAGTGCAATCGTGGCTCACTGCAGCCTTGACCTCCTGGCTCAAGCGAGCCTCCCACCTCAGCTTCCCCAGCAGCTGGGACTATAGGTGTATGCCACCATGCCCAGGTAATTAAAAAAAAATCTTTTTTCGTAGAGATGAGGTCTTGCCATGTTGCCCAGGTTAGTCTCAAACCACAGGGCTCAAACAATCCTCCTGCCTCGGCCTTGCAAAATGCTGAGATTACAAGTATGGGCCCCTGTGCCTGGCCAAAAGCCAGTACTTTGAAACATCATCTGATAAGGGACTTTCTATTTTTTATTTATTTATTTTATTTTATTTTATTTTATTTTTTTTGAGACGGAGTCTCGCTCTGTCGCCCAAGCTGGAGTGCAGTGGCCGAATCTCAGCTCACTGCAAGCTCCGCCGCCCAAGTTTACGCCATTCTCCTGCCTCAGCCTCCCGAGTAGCTGGGACTACAGGCGCCTGCCACCTCGCCCGGCTAGTTTTTTGTATTTTTTAGTAGAGACGGGGTTTCACCGTGTTAGCCAGGATGGTCTCGATCTCCTGACCTCGTGATCCGCCCGTCTCGGCCTCCCAAAGTGCTGGGATTACAGGCTTGAGCCACCGCGCCCGGCCAGGGACTTTTTATTTTTTCCTTTCCTTCACTTCTTGAATGAAAGGGATTTAACTCTTAAAACTCAGTAATAAAAACATAAGTGGCTCAACGGGCAAAGGATCTCAACAGACACTTTCCCAAAGAAGATATCCAACGGGCACAAAAAGACGCTCGTTGGCCGGGCGCGGTGGCTCACACCTATAATCCCAGCACTTTGGGAGGCTGAGGCAGGCGGATCATGAGGTCGGGAGATAGAGACCATCTTGGCTAACATGGTGAAACCCACCCCCGCTCCTTGGTCTCCACTAAAAAAATACAAAAAACTAGCTGGGCGTGGTGGCGGGTGCCTGTAGTCCCAGCTACTCGGGAGGCTGAGGCAGGAGAATGGTGTGAACCTGGGAGGCGGAGCTTGCAGTGAGCCGAGACTGCACCACTGCACTCCAGACTGGGTGACAGAGCAAGACTCTGTCTCAAAAAAAAAACAAAAGACACTTGTTCAAGAGCCACCCAGGAACTGCAAATCAAAACCACAGCCAGATCCACTTCCCACCACTGGAAGTCCAGGATCAACAAGACAGACAGGCAGTGCTGGTGAGGATGTGGAGAAACCGGAGCTCTCCTCTAACCGCTGGTGGGAATGGGAAATGCTCCAGCCACTCTGGAAGGCCACCTGGCAGCTAAAAGGTGAGCAGAGTTACTGTGACCAGTGACTCCACTCCTAGGTATCTATCCAGGAGAAATGGAAGTATACGTCCACATAGAACTTACACCTGAACATTCGTGGCAGTACTACTCCTGACAGGTAAAAAGCAGAAACCAGCAAATCCATGAACAAATGGATCAAGACAACATGAAGCCAAGCCGCCACGGCAAGGACAGGAGCACCCACACCTGCTCCAGCACGGCCGGGACTCGAAAACACACCTCCCCGAGGGAGATGCCGGACACAGAAGGCCACGCTGTGTGATTCCACGGATCCCACGTGAGTGTGACAGGCCCACCCCAGCTGAGCCGATATCCCCACGTGGTGGAGGCCCACAACCATCCTGTCAGTGACAAACCCTACATGCCACTCGTCTGCTGTGTGCCTGGGCTTTCAGTTCTCCAAAATAAGATCTTACCCAGGTGGCTGTGTCCTTTAGAATAACTCAGCCATCAATTCCTACCAAATGCACTTTAATTTAAGAACTGCTCCACCTCCGATCTTACAGACAAACCATATTTAACTGCAGCCTGGTGTCTAAGGTTTAGGCTTCACATTTCATTATCACGGGGTTTTGGGCCAGGTGTGGTGGCTTATGCCTGCAATCCCAGCACTTTGGGAGGCCGAGGCAGGTGGATCACTTGAGGTCAGGAGTTTGAGACCAGCCTGGCCAACATGGTGAAACCCCGTCTCTACCAGAAGTACAAAAATTAGCTGGACATGGTGGCACATGCTTGTAATCCCAGCTACTTGGGAGGCTGAGCAGGAGAATCTCTTGAACCTGGGAAATGGAGGCTGCATTGAACCGAGATTGCGCAACTGCATTCCAGCCTGGATAACAGAGCAAGACTCTCAAAAAAAAAAAAAAAAAAAGGTTGTTTCAAGCAGTATTTCTGATGATCGAGTGCCCAGTTGTTGACTCTGCATTTGTATGTCATCCGTGCCCTGCCTTGTTCACCTCTTTTGCTCATTTTCCTGAGCCTACAATTTCCATTTCTAGAAGTCTTTTATGTTAAAGGTAGAAGCCCTGTTCTCCTAACAGTGTCTAAGTTTTGACAAACCAGAAATTTGTGCATGAGTCATTCAAAGTTGAAAGACCGAACAGCCTGCAGAATGAACATCTGCTGATGACGCAGGTACATCAAGCTGCCCAAGTGCTCACGGGGCCCCCTCCAGGCAGACTGCGTGTGACGTCTGTGCCAGGCAACATACCCTCAGCGGGGTCTCTGAAGCTCTCCTCTTTCAGCTCGAAGGCAGGCTGCCCCTGCTGATGGGTGGGCACTGGCTCACTGCCCGGACAGCTTGTGGGAAGCGAGATGCTGGCAGAGTTCAAGGCTCCCTCCTGGAGGAACGGGCAGAGTCACCCTGTGCAGTGCAGTCAAGGTACTTGGGGTGTAGCTTTGCCTCCCCACAACCTTGTCGAAGTAGACTTGGGGGAGAGGGAGCGGGACATCCCACCCCATCACCCAAGATCGCTGGGGGCTTCCACTGCCTGCTACTCTTCTACACAACCAGGCCAGGAGCACAGGCACCCACACAGGCACCCCTTACCTTGCTCTCTGCTCTTGGGGTCTCAGCTGTCAGCTGCACCACAGGTGTGTCCTCCGCTGAGGCTGAATGCAGCTGCCTGGGGAGACAGAGTCAGCAGAAGGTCCATGCCCCACACCCCATAACCCCGGCGTCCCCTGCTCCAGCACCGAGCTGCCACTGCCTTTCCCTGTACTGCTGTGCCGGCTACATGAACACTCAGCTAGAGTGCACCAGGCATGCGGCTGCCCCAAGCGACCTGGCCACAGAGCAGCCTCACCAACCTCACCCAGCAGGAAAACACACACCCTGCCTGCCAGCTCTGGAGGAAGCAGGCTGCGAGCCCTAAAGTCAGCACAACGCAGCCCAAGGGAACCACAAGGATGAGCACATCCCTTTCACTGTGAAACTGACAAAAGGCTTCAGGTGTGGAGGCTGGGGCAGGTGTGGGCAGCAAGCCACCCGAGGTGCCAAGGCAAGAGACTGAGGGCACAAGCTGTTCCAGTATAATAAATAGATAAAATAAGAAGTTATGCTAGAAATAGATGATAGATATGATTATATATGAATATCATTAACCATTAGTTTGTAGCATCACTCTTTATTCCAATGTTATAATAATCTCTGTTCTACAATTACAACCTAGGACAAACCAGGCCATACAGAGGTAGGAGCTGAAGGGACACGGTGAGAAGAGACCAGAAGACAAGAGTGTGAGCCCCTGTCACGCCCGGACATGGCCACTAGAGGGCTCCTTGGTCTAGCGGTAGCGTCAGTGCCCGGGGAAGGCACCTGTTACTTAGCAGACTGAGAAAGGGAGTCTCCCTTTCCCTGGGGGAGTTAGAGAAGACTCTGCTCCACCACCTATTATGAAAGGCCTGACATGAGTCAAGCCTGTCCACAGCCATCCGGAGGCCTCGTCCTCCCTGTGATGCTGTGCTTCAGTGGTCATGCTCCTGTTTCACTTTCATGTTCTGCTCTGTACGCCTTCTAGAGCTTCTAGAGAACAGTAGCAGAATTAGTGAAAGTACTAAAGTCTTTGAAATGCATAGAAGAAATAATGGCGTTAAGCTGTCCTCTCTCTCTCCCCAACTCGGCTGCCAAACAGGGAAAGGCCTGGTGGACACGTGACTCACGTGACGTTACCTATCACTGGAGATGGCTCACATTCCTTACCCTGTCCCCTTGCCTTGTATCCAATAAATAACAGCTCAGCCAGGCATTCGGGGCCATTACAGTCTCCATGCCTTGGTGGTAGTGATCCCCCGGGCCCAGCTGTCTTTTCTTCTATCTCTTTTCCTTGTGTCTTTATTTCTATGATCTCTCGTCTCCGCACATGAGGAGAAAAAACCCACAGACCCAGTAGGGTTGGACCCTACAGGCAGGACAATCTCCCACTGAGCAACTCTAGGGGATGCAGCCTAAGACCATTCAGCCAGGAGGCAGCAGACCTACGGCCAAGACTCCAGCAAGCAGTAGACGCCACCCCAGGCAGTAACAGGCTTTGCCTGGCTTTTGGAGTTACATGCCCAAGTCAAGTTCACCTGAGGAGGGACATGACTGGGGGACAGGGTCCTGCCCAAGGTTGGCCGCATTTGGCTTCTGGCCTAAGCCCACCCTTGTTGGATCCCTCCTTAGGCTGGGAGCACTAAAGAGATGCATGGCGCCAAGGCAAGGCCAAGAACCCTCAGCTGGGATCCACCTGAGCCCTGTTTTTGCCCAGAGGCCCCTTCTCAAGGGGAGCCCACCCGGCCTCAAAGGAGTATCTTTTTTTTTTTTTTTTTGAGACGGAGTCTCGCTCTGCCGCCCAGGCTGGAGTGCAGTGGCCGGATCTCAGCTCACTGCAAGCTCCGCCTCCCGGGTTTACGCCATTCTCCTGCCTCAGCCTCCTGAGTAGCTGGGACTACAGGCGCCCGCCACCTCGCCCGGCTAGTTTTTTTTTGTATTTTTTAGAAGAGACGGGGTTTCACCATGTTAGCCAGGATGGTCTCGATCTCCCAACCTCGTGATCCGCCCGTCTCGGCCTCCCAAACTGCTGGGATTACAGGCTTGAGCCACCGCGCCCGGCCCTCAAAGGAGTATCTGATGACACCTCTGGGTCCTTGACCACACACACTGCGGGGCAGCTGCCCCACACCACACTCCCCACCCCATCCCCATACTTACTGGCTCAGACACGTGCCTGGCTCCTCCGTGGCAGGCCCAGCACTCAGCTGTTCAGACGCTGGCCGGCCCAGCCTGGTCTCAGGGCTTTCTGGGGGCTGGGCCTCTCTGTGACCAGACAGGGTGTCACCTCTGAACGGGTTGAAGTTTGGGTCATCCAGTTTGTCCCAGTCGAGGTGGTAAGAGCCCCGAGAAGCCAGCATGGGGGGGTCCTCCTCCACCTCCCGCAGGGCCTTTTGCTGCCTCGCTGCTGCTCTCCTCAAGGGAGGCTTGAGGCCAGATCTCTCTCCCAGTCTCCTTGGTGGGGCTGCCCTTTTGCTGGTAGCACCATCAGATAAATCAAATTCTAGTTTTATGGGTCCGTTCCTCGAGGAGCTGGCCATTTGGTCCACAGCTGCTTCTTCCTGAGGACTCAGGGTCATGGCCCTGCCAGTCACCAGGTGGCTGGTCGGGGCTGTGCTCTCAGGACAAGAAGTGTGTGCACAGGGAAGGGCCTGAGTGTCATCTGCTGGCACGGGGGTGCCCATACCCACAGGGCAGGCCAGGGCCTCACCAGGCAGACCCCCCAGGGGTGCTCCTCCACAGGCTTCCTCAGGGATCGCACTAGGAGGCGAAGTGGCCCCTGCTGTGGGAGCAGAGACCCCACCATGCCGGCATTCTTCCTTGGCTCTGTGTGGAGTCTCTGCTTTGTGCTGGGACTCTGTCCTGGAAGGGTCTTCTAGGGTCTCAAAGGTGGGTGTCATTTTTCTGTCTAAGGAATAGGAACTAATATTTTCCTCCAAGGCTTGTTCAGGGCTGCCAGACACTTTTTCTGGAGACACCATTTGGTTCTCAGAACTTCCTGGGCTCTGGGAAGAACTTGAGCAGTCCAGGTCAGCCAGGGCACCCGGGCCAGGCTCGCTGGCGCTGCCACTCCCAAAGGCTGGGCTTGCATCCCCCAGGAGGTTGGCGTCAGCCTCCACTGGTTTCTGTAGAATTCCATGAGTAGTTTTGGCATCCACTTCCTTGATGAGCTGTTGGCTTTTAAAACAGACTTAGTCAAAGTGAAGCAGTGAGTACTTGTGAGGTTAGGTGGCCTCGGCATCCATTCTCAACACAGGTTTAACTCTCTCACACCAGAAGCAGGGCTGAGTCACCCTTGGCACAGCTTCCCATTCTCCACCCCCCACCCTAGTTCCTCAATGTGGTTCCTTCCTGTCCTCCCAGGGACCAACTCCCTGTGGAACAGATGGACACAGCCACGTGACGTCCTCGCTGACCCCCGCCTCCGCCCCATTTCTTGGGGTTGGCTATGCATGGGGTTCCAACTTGCAGGGGTGCCTGTGGGCTGCTTGCCTGTTTAATTGTGCTCATCATGCACTTTGGCAAGTGCTGGACCCAGAGTTCTCCAGCAGCCTCTGCCACCCAAACAGCACTCGTCATCATGCACAAAGTCTGCACCCAGGCACCACAGCAAGGATGTAGCACAGGCTGCTGCCTGGGGGGTCAGATGTGGGACACCACACCCAAATGCCTCAAGCTGATGCCAGAGAAAGAAGCTTAGAGGCACCTCTCCCACCTGGTAGACTGGGCTCCTCGATTTCCCACTGCTTCCCTTATTTTTATTTATTTATTTATTTTTTGAGATGAATTTTTGCTCTGTTGCCAAGGCTGGAGTGCAATGGCATGATCTCGGCTCACTGCAACCTCTGCCTCTGGGGTTCAAGCGATTCTCCTGCCTCAGCTTCCCAAGTAGCTGGGACTACAGGTGCCCGCCACCATGCCCGGCTAATTTTGCTTTGTATTTTTAGTAAAGACAAGTTTTCACCATGTTGACCAGGCTGGTCTAGAACTCCCGACCTCAGGTGATCCACCCACCTCAGCATCCCAAAGTGCTAGGATTACAGGCAGGAGCCACAGTGACCGACATCCACCACTTCCTGTAAAAAATCCATTCAAGCGCCTGCCCACCAGCATGCAGTGACCCCACCCTACTCCCTGATAGACGAGGCTGGCTGCCACCCTCTCAGCTGTCCCCTGCCTGTGCTCCAGGGCCTGCCCCAGTCCTCCGTGTGGCCTCCAGCCTGCTGTGGGCCTGTAAGTTAAAAGATCACTATTTCCACCTGTGTTTCTCCTAACCACCGAAGGGTGTGCACCATCTTAATGACCCTGAATTCTAACATTAAGGGACCTGACAGCATTCTGATGACACTTTAGTCTGTGTGAAAACATCAGCTATAAGCAAAACAAGAAAGCTCAGTCAACACTGTCCTCTGGCTTAAACCTCCCCCAAGGACATGCCCACAGATCAGCCCTGGGGACGTGCAGGCCCCGGACAGCCAGCAGGGGCGTGGTAAACAAAGGTTTTCTGCACGGATCTGCTTTCCCCTTCAGGTAGGGAACTGGCAGTGCTGTGGCCAGGGCCAGGGCCAGTCACAGCCTTCACTGAAGGACAAGGTTGAGGTGCACGATGCCACCTTCAGGCACAGAAGGGCCTGAGTGGCCTCTGCAACACCTCCCTGGATTGTGGCCACACTGGCGCAGCACCCTCCTGCCACAGTGGAGCGCCATGGGTGCAGAGAACACCTTCCCAGGGGCCCACCATTCCCAGGGCACTCCCTGCTCACAATGTGGGACTGCAGGGCATAGGGCCCTGACAGAAGAGGCGGCTGTTGGGATGGCTGGGGCTCAACTACAACACAGAGAGCACAAACGCTGCATCACTTGTTCCCCGGCCTTCAGGTCCCTCAGAAGATGCAGGGTCATGTGCCAGTGCCTCAGATAAGGGGCCCCTGTTACCTGCCCTTCTCTTCCAACTCTTCTCTAAGTTTGAAGATGTCAAAACTGAGAAACTGAGGGTTAGGGACCTGTCGGACTGTTCACAACTCCTCTGCTGCCCAGCTGCCACCTCAGGGTGGCGTTGCCCTCCCAGGCGGCTACTCAGCTGTCCTTGGAATGATACGTGGGCAGCTGCACACAGCGGCTGCTCTTGGTCTCATCCCACTGACGTGGGAGCACCACAGCAACCACCAGCTGGGCCAAAGCAGAATTCCAGAAGGGAGATGACAGCCACGAGCCCAAGCCACGAGCTCAGAGTCACTCTGGCTGCAGCCCCACAGGGCCACCCTCCCAAGCCCCTCCTAGCTCCTTTACACCCTCTGCCCTATGGAGGCTGCTGGGTGGCCCTGGAGGCATAGGGCAGAGGCAAGGGCATCTGTGGCTCTGGGACGGATCACACCCATGGCAGCTGGGAGACGACTTCTCTGCTCCTGGTCCTCCCCTCCTGCTTGGGGTCGTTGTGAACCAATGTCTGATTCATTCTCACTTTGTTTGACCAAATTTCAAAAGGGGCAAAATCCAACTTGAAAAGTAGCAAGCAGATATAGCAAGAACTGCAAATTCAGGCTGGAGGGGTGGAGGGGAGACAGGCCCAGGGCCCAGAGAAGGACATAGGAAATGCTGCCTGCACTTACTGGTGACATTTTATCTCAGGGAGTGAGAAGCATTAGTGGTATTGTGTTCCTTATGCTCTTCTTCGCACACCTAAAATCTGTTTAAAAGTTTTGGGCCAGTCGGGCGTGGTGGCTCATGCCTGTAATCCCAGCACTTTAGAAGGCCGAGGCGGGCAGACCACTTGAGGTCGGGAGTTTGAGACCAGCCTGACCAACATGCAGAAACCCTGTCTCTACTAAAAATACAAAAAATTAGCTGGGCGTGGTGGTGCATGCCTGTAATCCCAGTTACTCGGGAGGCTGAGGCAGGAGAATCGTTTGAACCCGGGAGATGGAGGTTGTGGTGAGCTGAGATCGCGCCATTGCACTCCAGCCTGGGCAACAAGAAAAACTCCGTCTTTAAAAAAAAAAAAAAAAAAAAAAAAATTGGCCGGGCATGGTGGCTCACAACTGTAGTCCCAGCTTCTAAGGAAGCCAAGGTGGGAGGACTGCTTGAGCCCAGGAGGTGAAAGTTGCGGTGAGCTGTGATGGCACCATGGCACTCCACCCCGGGTGACAAAGCGAGACCCTGTCTCAAAACAGCAACAACAGTTACATCAGCAAAAACCAGCAGAAAATCATGCCTCTGGGGTCCCTTCCCACCCTGGATGCAGATGAGGTGTTCCCAGGTGCCCAGACCGATTAGTTCAGCCACAGAGTAAAGAGCTGCTTCCAGGGTCCTCCCTTTCCAGGCAAAGACAGACACCGCCTTGCCATCCGCTTGCAGTTAAGCATCAGGTCAGACAGCAGACTGCCAATGCCAAGCCTAACCCAACACCCAGCGCCTGGCAGAGCCCTCCAACCATGCACACTCTGAGGGGTGGATCACACAACATGGTTTCTTTGCCTACAAGTCTATCTGCTCTTTCCAAGTCCTAATAGGGTGGGCGGAATTCAAGATAAATGAAACTATGGATTGCCTTCCTGGAGATGGGGCCAAGACATTTCATCAAATTAGAGGAGCAAAGATCGAAGCCAATTGGTTGGCAAAAGCCCAGCAAAAATGTGAAGTATGGGCTGGGCGCGATGGCTTATGCCTGTAATCCCAGCACTTTGGGAGGCTGAGGCAGGTGGACCACCTGAGGTCAGGAGTTCGAGACCAGCCTGGCCAACATGAAGAAACCTCATCTCTGCTAAAAATACAAAAATTAGCCAGGTGTTGGTGGGCACCTGTAATCCCAGCTACTGGGGAGGTTGGGGTGGGAGAATCGCTTGGACATGGGAGGCGGAGGTTGCAGTGAGCAGAGATCGTGTCACTGCACTCCAGCCTGGGCAACAAGAGCAAAACTCCATCTCTGGGGTGGGGGGGAGTGAAGTATTAAGTTACCCAAGTATCTGATGGTCGACTTTTCTGTTAGTGAACTGGTGGGGGGGAGTGAAGTATTAAGTTATCCAAGTATCTGATGGTCGACTTTTCTGTTAGTGAACTGGTGGGGGGGAGTGAAGTATTAAGTTATCCAAGTATCTGATGGTCGACTTTTCTGTTAGTGAACTGGCCACATGCTGCATACACTCAGTGCAGATTTCAGGAGAAATCCAGCCAGGCCAGCCGGGCGCGGTGGCTCACGCCTGTAATCCCAGCACTTTGGGAGGCTGAGGCGGGTGGATCGCAAGGTCAGGCGATCGAGACCATCCTGGCTAACACGGTGAAACCCCGTCTCTACTAAAAAATACAAAAAAATTAGCCGGGCGTGGTGGCGGGTGCCTGTAGTCCCAGCTACTCGGGGAGCCTGAGGCAGGAGAATGGCATGAACCTGGGGTGGGTAGAGTTTACAGTAAGTGGACATAGTGCCACTGCACTCCAGCCTGGGCAACAGAGCAAGACTCCATCTCAAAAAAAAAAAAAAAAAAAAAAAAAAAATTCCAGCCAAGGCCTGACAGAACAGGACAGCACGTTTCTGCAAGAGCCATCGGACAGAGAGGGTGAAGCTCCAGCATGTCCAGTAGCATGAACACTTACTTCTCTTTCTGCGTCCACACCGGGTGACAGTTTTCCAGTCCAAGGGTATCACCCTGAGCCAAAGGAGCCTCAAGTTTGCTGGCCATGCTAGGACTTAGAATCCTGTGCGTCTGTGGATCCCGCAGAGGTGTCTGAAAAGTCACCTGTTGTGGAGTGAGGAGGAGAGCACCCATTCATTAGTTCAAGCTGTTACAGCCACACCAGCAGTGTCCTGCAGCTCAGAGGTCACCAGGAAAGCAGGTCCTAGGGCAACCTGGCTAGCCACACACTGTAGAGGTCACACTTACCTTCATAGCTTTGGCCACGTTCTTGGGTGGCACATTTTCTTTCTGTGACACACGAAGAACAGACGATCTTCCGGTAACTTCTGGTGAGGAAAACAGGAAGTCGCAATTTTCTGTACTTTTTTCACTGCTGACATTTTTGTCGTTTAAGACCTGCAGACTCATTCTGGAAAAGCAGAACATGTTTGTGTCAGTGTGAGGGCAACACAACCACGTTGTCCAGACACAGACATGACAGCTGCCGCAGGGAGCACGACCCCTTCCGGCACAGGTGTGCTCATTGTTCTGGAGCTCACACCTCCCACACATGTCCTCTGCCAAGTGGGGCAGAGAAAGCCTCCGATTGAGTCCCCATCCTGCTTCAGAGACTCACTCTCCAGCCTGGCACCGGGAGCCATGGGCAGCACCGCTGCCTCCTGGGACCAAGAGCTAAAGGGCCTTCAGGCTAAGATGGTGAGAAAGAAAAACCAAGACCGCATAATCTCTACTGTTGTATTACCACGTCAGGCAGAAGTCAGGAGACAGGAAAGCCCTGGCCTATAAGAAACCCAGAAGAGCCAGAGGAAGCCGCGGTCTCCCCACCGGCCTCCGCGTGTGGCGTGAGGCAGGACCGGGCAGCAGAGGGCAGAAAGGCAGGACAGCGGCTCTGGTCTGCTTTCTCCCACCGGGCTAGGCAGCGGGACAAGACCAGGCTGGGGTGAAGGCCCAGAGGAGGAGCTGGGAGACAGTAGGCGAACAAGGGACGCCCAGAGCTGAGCAGCAGGTGCCAAGGAGCTTCCATATCAGGGCCTCCAGTCAGTCCCAGGTTCCAGGGCCGCCCAGGTCCTCACACCAGTCACCCACACACTTGCCACCCTTTCTGTCTACAGCGTTCCCAGTCTAGGGAATGACGTAGGCAGAAAGGCTGCCAGAGAGAACCGAGTGTCGACCTGGGCAGGAACCCCACGGGCACCTGTTGGTGGTGGGGGACCTGGGAAGGCTTTGATTTGAAAAAGAGCAAAGTTGGGGAGGGTCCTGGAGAAGAGAGAGGGGCAGCCCGGGCAGGTCGGTGCTGCAGCTTGAGAAGCCCACTGTGGTGCTGTGTGTGGGTAGGGAAGTAAGGGCAGGAGGGAAGCAGGGAAACCACACGCTTCTGCAGCCCGAGGAGTAGAGGCCAGACCAGACCCGGGCCTGGCCACTGGCATATATGGGACTTACAGACGACGCTTAGGTTTTTGGCCTGAATAACTGGGTACAGGGCAGGGGAAGGGCAGCTGGATCACTGGGGGACACGCAAGCCTGGAACTCAGGGAGAAAGTGACTCGGAGGAAGCCTTCCGGCGGCCTGGAGGAGTGCGGGAGAGCAGCAGACCCAGCCTTGGTCAGGAGGGGCCTTTACCGACTATGGAGCCCCGGGAGGGGCTCTGGGCAGAGAAGGGACCGGCCCCAGGCCGGTGCTTTGATGCTACTCTGGTGCACAAGTGGGATGCGGCGCGGGGGAAGATGGAGCGGCGCAGCAGGTGCGGGGAAGCGGTCGGGGCCCAGGTGTCCGCCACAGGTGGCCCAGATGGAGTTGGCACCAGGACGGAGGCCGGAAGGGACCAAAGAACCACAAGAGGGTCTGCGAGCTGGGAGCCAACAAAGAACCAGGGTGGGCGGCCGAGAGGCAGGAGAGGGTCGAAGAGAACAAAGCACTTCAGGGCGCCCGCTCCGCCGTCGGGCTCGGCCCAGCCCTAGCCGCCCCCGGCCACCGCCCAGGGGACCCAGCCCGGTGGTCGGTCTAGGGCCGGGTCCCATGACAGGGCGCGGGACGGGCCCCGGCGGCCCGGGAAGAAGCCGTGGGGGACGCTTCCCGGGGAAAGCGCGGCCAGGGCGGGAAGGCGAGGGCCGAGGGCGGGGCGGGACGGCCTCGCGCCCCCGGGACCCCAGCCTCCCCGTGCCGTGTAGACGCTCGCCTACCTGCCTGCCCGCCCGTTGCCGGGCTCTGAGCCCGCGCCGCCGCCGCCAGGAAGGAGGGGTCTGGATATGCGTCTGCTCCGCGCCGGGGGCGAGCCTAGTTGCTGCCGCTGCCGCGCTTCCAGCCCTTGATGGCCGCCGGCGCGCCCGAGTTTCAAACGCCGACGGTTGCCTTCGCGCGGCCAATCAGCACGCGGCCGGGGGCGGGACCGTAGGAGGGTGGGGGTCCAATGGGAAGCTGTGTCTCGCCGGCCCCGCCCCCCCGTGCGCCGACGGTTCCGTTTCCGGAGTGGAGGGCCTGCCGGGGGTGTCTGAAGCTGAGACCTCTGGCTCGCCGTCGCCGCACGAATTTCGGGTTCTGCAGCTGACGCTACTGGGCGGGGCTTCGTGGCCAGGGACTGAGAGCCGCTGGCTCAGGCCTAAGTTTCCCCAGCTGTGCATTGAGACCAGGTGCAGTGCCGCCTCCAGGGCGGGCCCTGAAGAGAGGCCGCACCCTCACGGGGACTGCATCTCCCAGAGCGCCCCGCGGGCGGCCGGGCGGCGGGACTCCATCTCCTAGAGTGCCCCGCGGGCGGCCGGGTGGCGGCTGCCGCAACCGACAGGTCGGGGTCTGGGCGCTGCGGCCTCTTCCCCGCGCCGGGGGCGGGGTCCTCGCCGGACAGCTTCCCGGCGGCGGCGCGATGGACAGCCCCGAGGTGACCTTCACTCTCGCCTATCTGGTGTTCGCCGTGTGCTTTGTGTTCACGCCTAACGAGTTCCACGCGGCGGGGCTCACGGTGCAGAACCTGCTGTCGGGCTGGCTGGGCAGCGAGGACGCCGCCTTCGTGCCCTTCCACTTGCGCCGCACGGCCGCCACGCTGTTGTGCCACTCGCTGCTGCCGCTCGGTGAGGCTGCTCCGGCCGGCCAGCCGCGTCCTCTCCTGCGCAGGGCTTGCTGGGAGGTCAGGAGGAGGCCTCCGCCAGCTCGCCGAGGCCCCGAAAGCGCCTGGGCGCAGCTGGGGAGAGGCGCCGGTCCTCATCCAGAGGGACCGCGGCGTGGGCTGAGCGCGCTTAGGGGCGCCGCCGGCGCTGGCTTGCAGGTGACGGGAACCCAAGTACAGAACCTTGGGCAGGGGATGCCCCGGCTCACCATGTCCTGAACCGTCACATGCCTGGGGGTTCCAAGGCCAAGCAGCCTTTGCTTGTCGTGGTTGCGGGCAGTGGCCAGGAGAAGGCAACTGTTGATTGAGTCCAACAGAAGGGGTCGGAGGGACTGTGTGGAGGGTGGCATTGCTCTAGGCCTTGGAAGGTGGGTGTGGGGAGAACGGGCGGATTTGGAGGCAGTTCCAGTTTGGGGGCGCCACAGAGGCAGAGGCTGAGGAGGGCCTCTGTGCAGGTGGGACCCTCAGAGTTGTCCGGGGGGTGTTGGGCTGGGCCCCAGGTGGTAACTGGGGCTCTGGAAGGTCCCCGTCTCAGCCAGTTGGATGACAGACAGGTGGGAGATGGGGGGTGCAGTGGTTGGAAAGGGATTTCAAGGGGGGACCTCTGGAGGACACAGGGGCAGACGCAGCTCTGGGAGGACAAATGGCCAGTGGCTGGCCAGGTCTGCCGCTCTGGGGAAACAAGAGGGGTGACCCTCCACATCCCGGTGTGAGCATGCAGCTGCCCGGGCCCGGGGGAGCTGGAGGCAGGTGTGGGGTGGAGACGCCCAGGCCTGCCTCATGGAGAGGATGGGCTGGGGGCCCACTTGGGAAATGGATGGGGCTGAGTGGGGCTAGGGCCCTGACCAGGCCGCTTTCGAGGCCTACTGGGTGGGTTTCTGTATCCCTTCCAACTGCACCCTCCCCAGACGCCTGTGAGGGACCACAAGTGAATCATGGAGGCCACACCTGAAGCAGACAGCACAGCTGACCTCACAGCTGGATGTCAAGCTCTTTTTATTTTTAACTTAGTTTGAAAGTTTTCAAGCTTTATTAGGTATTAGTTACCTATTTATTTATTTATTTTATTTATTTATTTTTTTTGAGACGGAGTCTCGCTCTGTCGCCCGGGCTGGAGTGCAGTGACCGGATCTCAGCTCACTGCAAGCTCTGCCTCCCGGGTTTACGCCATTCTCCTGCCTCAGCCTCCCGAGTAGCTGGGACTACAGGCCCCCGCCCCCGCGCCCGGCTAGTTTTTTGTATTTTTTAGTAGAGACGGGGTTTCACTCTGTTAGTCAGGATGGTCTCGATCTCCTGACCTTGTGATCCTCCCGTCTCGGCCTCCCAAAGTGCTGGGATTACAGGCTTGAGCCACAGCGTCCGGCCTATTTATTTATTTTTTTGAGACGGAGTCTTACTCCGTCGCCCTGGCTGGAGTGCAGTGGCACGATCTTGGCTCACTGCAACTTCGTCTCCTGGGTTCACACCATTCTCCTGCCTCAGCCTCCCGAGTAGTTGGGACTACAGGCGCCGCCACCAGGCCCGGCTAATTTTTTTGTATTTTTTAGTAGAGACGGGGTTTCACCGTGTTAGCCAGGATGGTGTCAATCTCCTGACCTTGTGATCCGCCCGCCTGGGCCTCCCAAAGTGCTGGGATTACAGGCGTGAGCCACCCAGCCCCAGTAACCTATTGTTATATGTCACATTACCTTGAAATGCAGTGACTGGGCCAACTCCAAATGTGGACTATTACTTTTTGCCAACTGGAAGCTGCTAGTGCAACTCCTCACCGTCTCCATTGCTTATTTGGACCTTCAAATTGTCCCCGATCTGGCCAGCAGGGCCCTGAAGCTGGCCTTGTGTCCTCTGGACGTGTCCCATCATTCTTTGACACTTGCTTCCTTTCTCACACACAACTTCTCAGCTCTGGGATGGGCCACGTTTGACCAGCCTTCTCAGAGCTGGTGAGATTGAGAGACTGAGATCCTGTCCAAGCAGCTGCCCTGGGCAGGCCAGGGGTCAGCTCTGCCTGAGGGGACACTTCATTGTGTTTATTTTTCTCTTTCTAGGCTTTTGTAGTTTTTTCAATATTTACATAATGTGTGAAACTAAAGCAGCAAATTAAAAACCTTTTCCCCTAATATATCCTGCCATTGCCACAGGCAGGGACAGAGTGGGCCGGCTAGGGAAGTGCAGAGTGGGTAAAACCCACTTACCCTGGGAGCTGACCCTGGAACCCGGGCAGAGGGCCGGGCCCAGGGCTGTGTGGGGGTGGACAGCGGCCTGGCACCCACTTTCTCCTGAGGCTCACCCTGTCCTTTGCAGGCTACTATGTGGGCGTGTGCCTTGCGGCTTCAGAAAAGCGGTTCCATTCCCCCGCCTGGCGGCTCTTCCTGCTGCTGGCCGTGACCCTCCCCGCCGTCGCCTGCATCCTGATCTACTACTGGTCCCGTGACCAGTGGGCCCGCCACCCACTGGCACGCACCCTGGCACTCTATGCCCTCCCACAGTCCGGCTGGCAGGCTGTTGCCTCCTCCATCAACACTGAGTTCCGGCGGATTGACAAGTTTGCCACCGGCGCACCAGGTGCCCGTGTGATTGTGACAGACGTGTGGGTGATGAAGGTGACCACCTACCGAGTGCATGTGGCCCAGCAGCAGGACGTGCACCTGACTGTGACGGAGTCTCGGCAGCACGAGCTCTCGCCAGACTCGAACCTGCCCGTGCAGCTCCTCACCATCCGTGTGGCCAGCGCCAACCCTGCCGTGCAGGCCTTTGACATCCGGTAAGAGTGTGGTGCCTGCGGGGGTGCAGAGGGCACGCGGCAGGCCAGAGCCAGGCTCTGGCGCCATGACCCCTGGGAGGTGCTAGGCGTAGCCGGTGTGGACTCCAGCACTCATGGACTTGTGTGACACCAGGCAAGGTGTCCACGAGACACCCGTCACTGAGCCCTCCCGCATAGCCCTCCTTCGGGCCCCCCTGCACTCTTGGCCTCCCCTTCCACTCTCCCTGGAGCCGTCTCCCCCAGATTCTTGGGGAGCACTCAGGACAGTGCAGCCCTCAGGCTGGACAGCTGCCTTGCTCCTAGGTCTGCCCCATGCCCAGGTTGGGCCGTCTGGCACTGGGTCCCTGGGCTCTGGCCTTAGGGCCATCTCTCCTGGTTGGTCCTGGTGCGACAGCTGCCCTGTCACTCCTTGGGGTATGGCCTCCATCTCCCCCTCCCTTTGCCCTGCAGAGGGCCCCAGCAGCTCTCCTCCCTGCAGGCTGAACTCCACTGAGTACGGGGAGCTCTGCGAGAAACTCCAGGCACCCATCCGCAGGGCAGCCCACGTGGTCATCCACCAGAGCCTGGGCGACCTGTTCCTGGAGACATTTGCCTCCCTGGTAGAGGTCAACCCGGCCTACTCAGTGCCCAGCAGCCAGGTGGGGGCCTGGGCCAGGTGGATGGGTGGGTGCCCACAGGTGTCTGCCTGGGCTCCTGGTGACGCTCCACCTGCCCGCAGGAGCTGGAGGCCTGCATAGGCTGCATGCAGACGCGTGCCAGCGTGAAGCTAGTGAAGACCTGTCAGGAGGCAGCCGCAGGCGAGTGCCAGCAGTGTTACTGCCGCCCCATGTGGTGCCTCACCTGCATGGGCAAGTGGTTCGCCAGCCGCCAGGACCCCCTGCGCCCTGACACCTGGCTGGCCAGCCGCGTGCCCTGCCCCACCTGCCGCGCACGCTTCTGCATCCTGGATGTGTGCACTGTGCGCTGAGTGGGCTGGGGCCTTGAGGTGACTCTGTGTCCCCCCAGCCACGGGGCGGGGAAGGGGGTGGCTGGGTCTCCTGGCTGGTAAAGGGCTCTACTTAAAGCACATGATCTGGAGCAACTCACCTCTGCCCTGGGTCTGCAGAAGGCTGAGGACTTTTGGTTAAAAGCAATCCTCATGAAAACACCCCACCCTGCTTGGCAGCCAGGGTACAAGTCCTGGGTACCTCCTCTTCGCCTCCCTTCTGCCCCCTTCCTGCTGCTGGGGGCAGATCCTGCACACACAGAACACAGCGTTTGCCCCCGAGCCATTCCCTGGAGACCCTGGGTCTACCCCAGGTGGTCGTCACCTGGGCCATTTGCCTTACTTCCCTGGAGCACACCCCCCTCAGTTACATGCCAGACCCAGATCTGCATTCTCCTGCCCTGTCCTGGAGCTGGCCCCTGGCTGCCTGGAGAACCCTGGGTAGGTCCCAAGGGTGGGATAGAGAAGAGGGCACTGCTATGGTGTGGGAGCAGTCCTGGGGCTTCCTGGTGGCTGTGGCCAGTTGAGGGCCATTCCTGGGTGGGGTGGCAATGGAAGGACAGGTCAGAGTGCCCTCATTTGTGGGGCTGCCCCTCAGGGGTTCTCATCCTGTCCTTGGTGCCTTCTGCTGCCCAACAAGTCCAGGGAAGGCCGAGGCCTCAGACTCCTGGGTAGGGGTGGGGGTTGAGGACCAAAGTGCCATAGTGACATCCAGAACACAAGCCCACCAGGGTGCAGCACAGGCTGCCCACTCCCCCAGGGTATCCCAGGCTCAGAAGGGGGTACACGCCCCATGTGGTCAAGGCTCGGGTGAGTGTCTTGCCCAATTCCTGTTGGTTCAAGGGGAGGAGAGATGCTGGCCAGGCCCCAGGCACAGCCCTGACACAGCCGTGGCTACTGGAGAGGCCTCACACCTGCGGCCCCAAAGCCCCTGGGCTTGGCTGTTTCACACAGAGGTGATAGACTCAGGTGGCCTGACCCTTGGGATTTGGGAGGCTTCCTGGAACACTCAGCAGGTGAAGGCAGCAAGGGCTGTGGCTGGGAGCCAGACCTAGCCTTGATCCTGAGTTTTTTGTTTATTGGTTTTTTTTTTTTTTTTTTTTTGACACGGAGTCTCGCTGTGTCGCCCAGGCTGGGGTGCAGTGGCCGGATCTCAGCTCACTGCAAGCTCCGCCTCCCGGGTTGGCGCCATTCTCCTGCCTCAGCCTCCTGAGTAGCTGGGACTACAGGCGCCCGCCACCTCGCCCGGCTAGTTTTTTGTATTTTTAGTAGAGACGGGGTTTCACCGTGATAGCCAGGATGGTCTCGATCTCCTGACCTCGTGATCCGCCCGTCTCGGCCTCCCAAAGTGCTGGGATTACAGGCCTGAGCCACCGCGCCCGGCCTGTTTTTTGTTTTTTTTAAGATGGAGTCTCGCTCTGTTGCCCAGGCTGGAGTGCAGTGGCGCCATCTCAGCTCACTGCAAGCTCCGCCTCCCAGGTTCACCCCATTCTGCCTCAGCCTCCTGAGTAGCTGGGACTACAGGTGCCTGCCACCGCGCCCGGCTAATTTTTTGCATTTTTAGTAGAGACGGGGTTTCACCGTGTTAGCCAGGATGGTCTCGATCTCCTGACCTCGTGATCTGCCCGCCTCGGCCTCCCAAAGTGCTGGGATTACAGGTGTGAACCACCGCGCCTGGCCGATCCTGAGTTTTAAGGGCTGCCAAAGAGGGGCAGTGGGTTGGGGTTGTTTTTACTACAAAAGAAGTAACTTAGTTTTATAAAGACAAACCTATTGTAGCCAAATGACACCATATTTAATAAAATGTACTCTGAAGTGATATACTGTGTTTTGTGTGGCCCGATATTAAAACCAAACTTTTGTCATAGTTGGAGAATGGCCTGGGGTTGTTGGAGGAGCCACCTTAGAGGTGGAATTGTGCGCATGGCGTGCTTTGCTCAGAATAAGGAGGAAAAAACCCTTTGGTTGGGAGGCGGGTACAGTAGGAACCTTCGATGATTTCTAGTTTGAGGACTCTGGGGTCTTGACAACCCCCAACCCAGGGCCATCTGCAGGAGCAGGGCAGGAGGGGCAGAGACACATCCTGGGGGAAGTCACTGTGTGGTCACCACTGTGGCTCCTTCCAGATTCAGGAACTGATGTGTGGACACGTGGGTAGCCAAGGAACGAGCAGCCTTTCCGGTTCACTTATGTTTGCAGCTGCCTCCTGTGAGGACACGAGGCTGTCTCTACTGACCTCACTGTGGGTCAGGGTGGCCCAGCAATTGCCAGCTGAGCACCTAGGGCAGACAAGGCGGCACCCGGGGTTCCCCACAGCACTGGGACCTCAGGTGATCACCCCAGCAACTGGACAGTGAGTGCTTGCTGCCGTTTTCCCCATTCTGCTTCTCGACTCACAGGACGGTTCTTGGGGAAATAGTACACGTAATCCTGTTGAAAGATATGACAGTGGGCTCTAGTTTCCTGCGCTCCGAGTGTCTTCAGATTCTTTCCAATGTGGTGCTTTCACTAGCATTCTTTTGCATACACAACCAGGCACTGCTTTAACCAACGACAGAGACTCGTGAGCATCTACTGAGGGGCTGTTACAGACCCTGACTGTGTGCCAGGCCCTAGGGCTCCCAGGCACTTGGACTCTTTGGCTCTGTGCTGTTAACTTAGAGGAGACTTTATTTCTTCTGAAAAGTTACAGCCTGATGATGAGAATCGCTTGAACCCGGATAGCAGAGGTTGCAGTGAGCCGAGACTCCACTCCACTCCAGCCTGGGCGACAGAGTGAGACTGTCTCAAAAAAATAAAAAAGTTACAGCCTGCAAGGTGGCCATCCCTCAGACTGGAAAGCACAGCCTCCGGCCAAGACCAGAGATGGGCACTTCAGAGGAGGAGGAGGGGTTGGGGCAGGAGCTTTATGCTGAATGGGTTGGCTAAACATGCATATTCAGCAGGTGACAGGATCTATGAATATTCATGAAGGCAGTCCTGACGCTTGCATCCTGAGCAAACATAATCCACATTCACTTTGGGGTGGAGACTTAACATTTAAATGTATTATAATGAGGTTCTACACAGGCCAGAAGTGGTCCATCACTGTGGGCTCTTATCTGGACCAAGTTACTGAAATCAGTCGCTTGCTCAACGAAACCTGTAGTTCCAATGAAACCTGTAGTTATGGCTAGTGGAATAGGGGCTGGGGGATCAGTTGGCATCTGGTGGAACTGCAAATTGGTTTTTATTGTTTTGAGACAGGGTCTCACTCTGTTGCCCAGGCTGGAGTGCAGTGGCGCCATCTGGGCTCACTGCAGCCTTGACCTCCCAGGTTCAAGCAATCCTACTTCAGCCTCCTAGGAGCTGGGATCACAGGCACACACCACCACGGCCGGCTAATTTTTTTGATTTTTAGTAAAGAAGTCTTGCTATGTTGCCCAGGCTGGTCTTGAATTCCTGAGCTCAAGCGATCCTCTCACCTTAGCTTCCCAAAGTGCTGGGATTACAGGTGTGAGCCACAGTGCCTGGCCTTTTTGTTTAAGTTTTTTGTAAGACAGGGTCTTGCTGTTGCCCAGGCTGGTCTTAAACTCTGGACCTGAAGCAATCCTCTGGCTTCAGCCTCCCAAAGAGTTGGGATCACAGGCATGAGCCATCATCTCAGCCACTGCACTGTTTCAACACTGCTTATCTCAAGGCCAGTGCTTGTTGAGCTACTAAGAGGAAAAGAAAAGCAGTGTGACAGTAAGAATATAGTTTAAATGTAGGGTGTGTGACTTAACCCTTGCTTGGCATGACCTTAGGTCTTATTCATAATTTGGTATCTTATTGCCACTGGTGTCCCACTGACCACAAGGGGGTCCATTCAGTTGTTGGGGGCTTAGGATTTTAATTTTTTTTGAGACAGAGTTTCGCTCTTGTTGCCCAGGTTAGAGTGCAGTGGCATGATCTTGACCCACCACCTCCCGGGTTCAAACGATTCTCCTGCCTCAGCCTCCCAAGTAGCTGGGATTACAGGCATGTGCCACCACGCCAGGCTAATTTTGTATTTTTAGTAGAGACGGGGTTTCTCCATGTTGGTCAGGCTGGTCTCGAACTCCCGACCTCAGATGATCCTCCCACCTCGGTCTCCCAGTGTTGGGATTACCAGCGTGAGCCACCGCACCCTGCAAGGATTTTTAGTTTACAGTATTGAGGGTTATGGGATGCCCAGGGCCTGGGGAGGGAAGGGACAGGATGTGTCTGTCCTAGTCTTAGGATGACCTTTTCAAGTTCAAAAGGGGGCGGTGGGCGCACCAAGGCACAGTCCTGAGGACAGCAGGTGCAAAAGCCAGGCCCTCCGAAAGGTGTAGGGCCTCAGAGGGATCCCAAGCATCCCTGGGGCTCAGCCTCCTGGACCTGACCCCACTGCCCACTCTTTTGGCTGGTTCCACTCTCCCCTGCATCCCTCACGTTGTCTCCAACAGGAAGCTGTGGGAACCTGTTCCCAGGTGTATGTGTACCCCTGTTGGGGTTCTATTTGGCTGGATCCGCGGGGCCATCAGCTGCAACTGTGACGGCGGCGGGGAAGCGGGACGGATGGTGCGGATCTACAGGACCTCGCCTCCAGGTGGGGCCTCCCTGCTGAGCCAGGGATTCTTCAGGATACTTCAAGCCCAGTCAACTCCAGGCAGAGAGTGGGAGCGTCAGGTACCGGCGACACAGCGGAGGACGTCACGGGCGGGCAGGGAGGCAGCTGCATCCGAGACTAGCGGCGGAGACTAGCGGCTCACTGGGTGGCCGGTGTGCGGCTAACGGCCAGGGCAGTGGGACCGGAAAGACTCAGCGTAGTGGTCAACTATCGCTACCTAAAAGGTTACTCCAAAACTTTAAGCGGCTCAAAACAGCAGACCGCGGGTACGCGCCTGCAGCGGCCACGGGACCGTGGGGAGCAGTCAGTACCGGCCATAGCCACGCCTTCCGGGTTCCGGGTTCCCGCCAGGGAGGAGACACGCCCCCACCTGGGCAGGGACCAAGCAGAGCCGCGCTCCACCCAGGCCGGGACCAATGGGAGATGCGCCACGACCCAGGCAGAGAAACGCGCCGCTTGCCCTTCCCCCACAACCTGCGCCGCGTCGCGCGCGGCCGAATCTCCCGCCAAAGCTGCCCCCGCCCGCCAAGGCGCGACCTATCAGCGTCGCAGCGGCCCGCGGCGGCCCGGCCGTCTCAATCCCGCGGGTGGAGCTCAACCTTTTCCTTAGGCCTCTCCTCAGCCCACGGCGTCCCTCCGGCTCCCGAGCCGAGCGCCAGGCAGTCGGGCTTCGCGGCTGCCCGCGGTTCTGAGGTCTCGCCCCAGCCCCAGTCGGCTGGCGAGGCGCGCGCAGCCGAGTGGACCCCCACGGCGTGGCCCGATGGTTTCGCCCGACCAGGCGCGCGCGGGAGGCCGAGGGGCGGGGCCCGGCGCCGATATAAAGGCGGTTGGGGGCGGGGCGCGCAGAGGTTGTGAGCGCCGGCGCGGGGACGCAGCTCACTCCCTCAGGTCCGGTTCTTTCCTTCCCTGCTCTGCGCGCCCGGCCCGCGCCCCCGCCGCCTCAGCCCCGGCCCCGGCCCCGGCCCCGGCCCGCCCTGCGCGCCCGACCCGTGCTGCCATGGCCTGCCGCCCGCGAAGCCCGCCGAGGTATCAGAGCCGCTGCGACGGTGACGCCAGGTGAGGCCGGGCTGCGCGGCGGGCGAGGGAGGGCGTGCTCCGTGGGGCGGGGGTCGTGCGGGGCCGGATGTTGCGGGACGGGGGTCGTGCGGCGGTCCCCGACCTCCCGAGCCCCGCCGACCGCGTTCCTCCCCGCAGCCCGCCGTCCCCCGCGCGATGGAGCCTGGGACGGAAGCGCAGAGCCGACGGCAGACGCTGGAGGCCCGAAGACGCCGAGGAGGCCGAGCACCGCGGCGCCGAGCGCAGACCCGAGAGGTGGGCACGGGACCCGGGGGTCGGGGCGCGGTGGAGCCCTTGACGGGGCCGCGGGCTCCAGGGACCTTGTCGCGCTCTCTCGGTGCCGGGATCGGCCAGGTCGGCGTCCTGCGTCCTTTTACCTTTGTCTCCGCGCGGCCCCTGCACTGGGGCGCCCGCACCAGGCCTGGCAGGCGCTGGAACACTCCGGAAGCCTCTTCCCGGGGTGGGAGTCTGAACTGGTGTCAGCCCGAGTTGGCCAGTTAGAGTCTGTGTGGTGCTCCCGGGAGAGGTCAGGGCCTCCGACGGGCTTCTCGTGAGCACGTGGAAGTCAGGGGACACCCGAGTCCCGACGAGAAGTGGGTTTACCGGGTTCACCTGCTTGGCCATTTTCTAGGTTAGGCGGTGTGTAAGGGGGAGGGTCGAGATGCGAGCGAAAGGAGGGCTTGATAGGGGTGGGACAGCCGAGGAGGGTTTGGAGGAAGTAAGCAGGGGTGCCAGTGGTCATAGTGGCGGGGCTTTAAGGGGCTATGGTTAGAGAAAACTCGAGGGGCTTTGTGTGGGGTGGTCCGTCCCGCATTGGGGGCTTGTTGCTCCTAAGTTTCCTGAAAGGCATGGTGACTTGGCCGAGATGCAGCAGTGAAGGCGGGAGGAAATGCATGGTTCAGGATAGACTTCTGAAGGCAGGACCTGTGAGACTTGCTGATGGGTTGGGGATGGGAGGCGTGAAAAGAAAATAAAAACTCAGACCCAAAACCACTATGCCAAAAGGAAGAAATTAAGCTGAAGGCGGAGTCATGCAAGAAACTACCTTTGCGTTTCCTTTTGTTTCTAAGCAGATAGCTGCAGATAAAAGATGAAGTGTCTCCACGGGTGAACTTTGTTCACCTTAAGTGCCGACTTACCGAGCGCACGAG